GGCCCCTTCACCACCCTGCACCACCTGAGAGGCGAGTGGCGGTGCATGGTGGGCCCGGACAGCGGCTCCGCTGCTTCCTGCGCCTCCCGACAGAGCGCTAGATGGGCCTTCGGAGAGCTCCCCCACTGCGCTACTGCGCCAGAGCAGCACAGCTTCCCGCGCGCCTCGCCGGCCTTGGCCCCGATGAAGGCGAAACACTCGGGCAGCGCCACGAGCTGGCAGCCCTTCGAAAGAACTAACGGACAAAGCTGCTGATGCCCTTATATAAACTTGAGAAGCGGCGGGCGGTCCTGCGAAGCTGCCTCGGTCACCAGCTGCTTGCAGGTGTGGAAGTTGGCCTCCTTGTCGTTCCGCGCCGTCATTTGGCACAGGCCCACCTGGCTCTTGGCGCAGTTCTTTAGCATGTAGAATACATGTAGAGATCAACAGCCCGTGACTGCCGAGGCCCTCCCGATTTCCGAGTTCCCGCTGCCTTGAAGGTCTTCTTTGCGGAGGTCGCTGCCTCATCATTTGCACTGGACTCTTGGAAGACCGTCTGTTTTGTAACAAAGCCCACGAAGCTCAACTCTACATATTCTCGAAGCATACCTACTGAAAGCAACCTGCCAAGTGTCAGCCATGGCGGCTGCACACCCGCGGGCCAAGCGCAGCGCCGTGGCCACAAGCGGGCACCGGCCCCGCGGGACTAGCTGAGCTGTGCGGGTGGGCAGCTTGCAGTGTCCTAGTGCTTCCACGGCTTTGCCCCTAAAGCGCGCCGTCTCCGACTGCCTGCTTGACCTTGCAAAGTTGTACGTATGAGGCTACCGCTCATGAGAGTCGTGTGGCTGATGCCGGCCCAAGCCTTTCAAGCTGTTTGGAGAGCCAAAGTACATAAACAGTGGCTCAAGCTCATTGAAGGACCTTCTTGGGCGTGACAATGGCTGAACCATTTCGTGTGCAGCATGCACGCCCACCTCCTTTCGCTTCTCCTGCACCACAGGAACTTGCTTCCGAGATCCAATACATTCCGAAACCACTGGGTATGTCATGGCAGAAGTGGCACAGCTTGGCAAGCAAAAAGTCCACCTCCTCCTCCACTTCGGCTGCTTCACGGCTGGCGTTGGCCGCGCGGCGGGCGCTGCGCTCCTTGCGGCTGCAGCAGAGAGGCGAGGCGAGGGGCGGTCGCCAAATGCGGAAGGCGCCTCCGCGAGCCTCGCTTTCTCCGTCTCCGCTTCCAGGGCGCGAAGCTCCCCTGGAAGCAGGAGGCCTGGCGGCAAAAACCCGAGCTCTGCTGCATCGCAGCACACGTTGCCGAGTCCGCGGCCTTCTCGTCGACCTGGGACAAACATGATGCTGAGGCCGGCAGAGATCGGGCGGGACAGCTCCGGCCCACATCCCTCACACCCCCTGAAGACCCACGCCCCAGTCCTTTTGTCTCTGTGAGACCCGGCTCTTCAGCGCAGCCGCACGGCGCTCGAAGTCTGCTGCAGCAGAAAGCTGTGCCCAGTCCTATCAGCAAAATGCCTACTTGGGCATCCTGCTTGCTTGTTTGAGGTGTCCTGGACGCCGATTTTCAGTTTCAGGGATCGCTCTCTCGTAACATCCCGCTGCACACTCCCAAGTGAAGCTCCACTCGGTCCGCGTGGCCGGCTGCCGCAGCACCACGTGCCTCGCCCCTCACGCCTGCAAAGCTACATCCGTCAAAGTCCGAGCACACACGATGGGGCTTCTTTGCCACCTTGTCACACCCCAACTCAGGTTCACACCTGTACTGCAAGCGGCGAAGACCTGCTGCGTTGCTCTGAAAATGAGAACAGGCTGAGTCAACGTCTGAATGTCGATGTCATCGCAGTATGTGAAGAGCGAGCGCCTCATGTTCCATTCTTCGAAGGGTCGCCATGGCTGCAAGGCGGAAGCTCTCCCGCACCCTTCAGGCAATGCAATTTATGCAAGATGCCAATTCCTTCACCAACATCCCGCAAGGAGTTTGCTTGGAGGCTTTCCATTTATTGGCCGGGTTGACTCGTAGTCTGATGTTGCCTGCGGGTGCCACTGTCTTTGTCAACGGCAGGCGACCAACCCCGGCCCAGGCACTCGCTGTCTTTTTCGCTTGGAAGGGCTGCCGGCATCGCTCAATGCGCATCGTTGCCTGGCAGTGAATTTGGACTGGCTCAAGGACGTCTGAGAACATGGCCTTGCTGAGGCCCAGACCTCACAGCGCAGCGAAGACCGGTGGCACCGGCATAACCTGGTTGGGTCAT